ATTGGCTGTTGTACATGTATTCTTTGAACGCAATCACTCTTTGGATAACGTTTTCAAAATCATTATAAACGGATTACTTTATCTCAAAGACAATTTCAATAAACTGGATTTTACAGAACTCCCCTTATTTCTTAAAAATGGACTGATCCAGTTGATTCGCCTGGAGCCGCCATATTGTTTTTATACGGGATGCTAATCGGAACCCTTTAAAAATTTGATACTCTTGTGAGATGTATTGCTTGGGAAATGTAATGATTCATAAATGAGCTCATATCAGAATGGCCCCAAAACAGCTAATTGGATTGTCCGATGTCAACGTTTGCGACTAGCACGTATTGGGAGAACTAACAGAATTGGTTTACCATGAGCCCCCTACAACTACTCAGTCCCTTTTATGTATAGAATTGTTGAGAAGTGGAATTCATTGTCTCAACACCATATCAATGATGCTTGTTTAAGCCTAAATTGAGGGCTATTATTGATCAAAATGGTGAACATATTGAATGTCTGTTTATGTAAATAAAATTGACAAAAAACTTGGTTTTTGCAAGTTTTGGAAAACCCGTTTTGAAACGAAAATGACGTCATTTATATTATGGACGCTGGTTGACAGACATTAAAATGAATTTGAGCTTATCATATACCAAATCAAAGATGAGTAAATTCCCTATCCACTGGTATATAATATGACATGTTTTCATCAAGAAAATCAATATTTATTTTTTGAAATACGAGTGTCCCATTTTTGGACCACCCTGTACTGTATGTGTCCTATACTGTATCTGTGGCTCAATCTAAAAAATAACGAATACGCTAAAAAGAATTCGCAAAAAGCACTCTAGAAAAAATTCCCCCCTGCAGACATTAGGGTTAAACCGCGTTGGCTTGTATTTAGAAAACAATTCTCGGACAGAATAAACTACAAATTAGGTTACCTATGTAAAAGATTGAAATGTCATGTTTTCGCTGTAGTTCATTAGCGAGAAATGCGTTCTCATCGGCAGATTCGATAGATACCAATTCTCCTCCATTCGCCCGACAAAAAGTTGTGGCATCTGCTTGTGTTTTCTTCTCCGTAACGACCAGGTAACAGGCCGATTGGAACTGTATTTGCCCCATTGGGCAGGCTTCTGTAAAACATCGAGATCGAGATTCATGGAAATCAGCAGCGCATCTAGGCACTATTGGTGTTAACATGTGCCCTTGGTTTTCCAAAACTGGCAAAGATGGAAAAGATGGAAAAAAGGGGATTCCCCCAAATTTCCTCGAGATTTTACAGGGGAATTTGCGAGATGTCCATCTGTGGAAACATCTAAGTCAAAATGAGCACATTTCTAAAGATTTGAACACTATTTTGGACATTTGAGGTGAAACGTTAACTTTTTATTGGGCATTTATGTCTTCTCGTCATCTAGGGCTAAGAATAAAGCAGAAATATCAGTGTAAAACAGGTGAATTCAATGTTTCAAAACATGGGGGTTCTTCAAAATGTTCAAGTAACCGCACTTCAGGTAACCATAAAGTAGAGGTGGATGGTGTTCACTGTGAGTCGACCAACTGAGTACTAAAGCAACCAGAGCTGGCTTTACATCAGTCCACCCGCTATGGCTCAGTGGCAGAGAGCCAAGGTTACCAATATCGCTTGGCCCCGGGTTCGATTCCCGGTTCAGACAAGTTTGTTAATTTGTGCGTTATGTAATTCTGTGTGTTACTGAGTGGTTCACAACTCGTGTAAGGGGTTTCTGGCTCTATCTTCGAGTGTAAAATACGTAAAATACGGAATATATCAATGAGGTATTGCTCGCCACATATGGCGGTAACCAAGATATGATAATAGGTCTTAGTGTATAATTTAATCACTTTTTAACTTAAATCATCGTTTTCCATATCAAATATTAACAACTGGGTGTAGCGAAACGCGATTACAAAAGTTTAAGGTTATTTGTAATATGAAGTTTCTTATTACAAAATTTATTCTTACATGTGAGTTAGTCTGGGGTTTTGTTCGTGAATCTTACCGTGATTTTCTTTGGTCTCTTTAGTTTTGTTGCAGCATTTTTGTCCTTGAAGTTCTTCTAATTTTGCTAGCAGTTTTGTCTCTAAGCTTATCAATTCAGACCTGAGTTCAGTTATATTAGTTTTAACTTCAGTATTATCAGAACGTAGTGATTTCTCAATTCCGGCAATATCAGATCCAAGTGTTTTCTGGAGTTCAGTGATGTCGATGTTAAGATTTTCTTCAAGTTTGGATATATCAGCTTTCTTGCAAACATGTAAACTTGGTTTCTTTTGTTTCTTCTTTTTGGCTTGTACTGATAAGACAATAAGAAGAAATATCAAACCCCAAAAAAACTTCATGATGCTGTGGTTGTTCTCTGTATTGTTGTTTGTTGAACAAGTTTAGCCGAAGTGACGAACTAACTGGTTGTTTAACTTTTAATTCAAATTAAATTCCTGACTCCTAGGACTCCTATTTTATATATTTAGTTCATTACTCATCGCCATGTTAAGTTGCTTTCTGACAAACGTCAATTGATTTCGAAAAACTATAACGGACACACTTTAAAAAAGCTGTTTGATTTAATTCAGCCATTAACAAAATTCTTTGAATTTTCAAACAAATTTTACCAATAAGTTATTGATTTAATGTATTATGGAGGCAATAAAGATACATAAACATAAACATATATAATGTAACATATTTTGATTTTATTGTCATTTTCGATGTAAATTGATTTAAGTGTATAACAGGCTAGGTATATATATGGTACTGAGAGATAATAAAATTAAAAATATTCAAACTTTTTATTTTGTATATACAGTGGTAATCTGTTATATTCAAAACTAATGGAAACGTTTTATTCATATTTACTGATGTCATATGTCACTCATCGGAATTGATAGAAAATAGTTTTACAACCTGAAACGGACTATGATAATTGCACTGCCGTCTTATGCCTGGGTCACATTTGCTCCCTCCATCGGCCGGCGCCCGGCCGATTGAGTTTTTTATGACAGCAAAATAAATGACCACATTAAGATTGTTCTCGACAAATCTTAAATAGACAACGTGAAAACTACAGAACTGCCATCATGGGTCCAAGGGTACACCATAAATCATACATGTAAATATGGGGTTGATGTTTCATATCACCCACCCAATTGTGTATCGAAATTATGCCGTTTGAAAACGTTGTCTATAGTAGCTTATTTCCGACAGGACGATTCCAGTACAAAAGTAGTTGTTGGAGTGATTTGAAAAATCAACCCCACATTTATGGGGGTACCATGGGGAAACTCAAAAATTTAGTTTTATACAGTTTTTTTTATCATTTATCTATATTTTCATTGGTTGGGATATTGTGGTGTGTTTTTTGTAACTACGTGAGCTTTCCCATTTTTTTATTTTTTATTGATTATGTTCCCTTCGTCATGTGAACTCAATTGTCAACTCTGTCTCCTGCTTTATATCATAGATTTCTCTCAAGTGTGTGCATATTGAAAATTCTTTGATTTTAACGGTAAAAAAGAAAATGTTTGCGTTCCACCTGGTGACTTCATGCAAAAATATATTGAAAATTGCCAAGGTCGAACTACACTTTTTCCCATATGCATTGTGGTATATCACATAACTTATTTCCTCCAGCTAACCCAGTCTATCTTTTTTCAAAGAATTTCAGTGAAAAATATCAAAATATTTACCTGTGCCTTTTCGTTAAAAAGATATTCAAAAATATCACAGCAAAATCAAAAGTTACGCTCTTTTATATAGATGGACTGGCAATACGTCATCATAATTTTTGTATGACCAGTTCACCCTCCTTACATGTAAAACATCCACTCAAAGAAAATAATCACAAATATTTTACCTTTCTCTGTTATGATTACAAATCAGTTATTTTATACATAAAAGTTCCCAAAAATATTTTTAGAAGAAACACATATTTATACCACGAAATAAACAGACAGATCAGAAAAAGGACAATCACACACTACGGATATTTGAAACAGCCTCTCCCAAGCACTCACTCATGTACAGGGCAGATTTATTAAACTACGTTTAACAAAACACAGCAACTAATATGAAAATATAATTAAAAAAATACAAAAAAGGAAGGATATTCTGAACTATCTAGTAGTCCTATATATTTGTATTTTGTCAGTTATTAACAAATATTAATAAAATCTATAAATGAAAAGGTACAACGTAATACAATCGGTTTGAATCGCATCCCGCTTTACAGCATATAAGTCGACAAATACAGTTACACTTGGAGGATGTTTATGATGTTACAGATAGAGTGAAGCAAAAAAGGTAACCAAAACAATCTTAATCAATCATTCATCCTGCATGGGTCTAGTGTCATATTTGGCATAATTAGGCCTTGTCCTATGTATTGTCATTCGAGTTTCAGTGATCTATTTCTAGTGGTCACGATTTATAGCCATTTTACAAACCATGTCATAAAATATGGGCGTCATGTCTTGAAGCCAGCTTTCACGTATTGGGCGTAGTTGTTTACAACAACTCGTATTTGTTATGGCTCTCATCTTCCTTCTTATCTTTTGCTGTAGGGGTTGTTGTAGAAAATTGGCCCAAAGATAAAAAATATGATGGGATTTATGTCCAGTCAGTGAGGCACATTTCGGCATTTTGACCATGTTTTGTGAATGACCATAAAATCGTGCTAGACTTATGAAACCTAGTAGAATGAAAAAACATTGAACAAGGTTTAATTGCGCCTATTAGGATTTTAAACCCATGCTGAATGACTGAATTATTAAGACATTTGTTTGGTTTACTTTTTTGGCCCACCCTGTAAGATTCAAATTCACACAATTACCAAAACGACCCATCGGTCATTCATACTTCCAACCTCGTTATGGATAGCAAAGATATGTTTTGAACGCGAGTCGTATTCTATTGTGCAGTAAATGTTTGCCACATGATATTTTTCCTACCGGTTCAAAAATCCGTTTTAATTTGAACACGATATGACATAAATATCGCAGAAACGAAATAGTATAAGTTATCAAATATTACTACGTAAAGCTTCTGCAGTCTGAACTTTATTCATATTCTAATTTTTAGTTTGTATGAAACTTTTCACTGCTATTAATTAGCATCAGACTCGGCTTCGTTTTGAAATGATGACTCGAAAACTGAGGCAATGCATACACATGCCACGTATCGTCGCATTTCCATAGTTTTGCGACGCACTAAATTGTTGCACTTCTTTAGATCCAAAAACGTGTACGTGGACGTAAAATATTGTGATTGGCTATCAATTTTTACAAGAACCTTTTTATATCTAGTACTGTATTTTCATTGGCAGTTTTCCGATCACGCTAATGACACCCACTTTTGTCAGTGAGATGAATGTGTTACTAAGGTCTTTGTTGAGCCTTTAGATTCGGTAGTGTAAACTACACACCGCGAGGGTTCACTCTACTAGTGAAACCCCCGGGACTACACACTTTTGCACGTCATGAATTGCTTATTTGTTCCCCATTTAGTTGCGTTTTTTGAGATGCTCAGCAACATTTAATATTCCACTCTCAATCCGCTATTTTTGCATATTTTATAAAGTAATGGAACTTTCATTTCCTTCAATAGAGAAGAACACGGATTCTTTGTCAGGATCGGTGGTCACTATATTATTAACTATCTTATTTTGGGTGGATTCTGTATCATCATTCGCCTCACTGTCGATCAATAATGACGATTCCGTGACACCATTTTCCTCATCATTCTCAAGCGTCTTATCAATCACAATGAGCGGCACTGGATTTGGACAATCAGCGTCATCTTGGTTAGTCCGCATCTCTGTTAATAGATGTCCATTGGGTGGCATATTTGTTAAATTCGTTAAACTATTGTTGCTAGCAAAAGTGTATTCAGAAGTAACGGATCTAGGGGATCGTGGATTAGATTTCGCATCATCCCGAATTAAATTCATAAAATGTGTATCTTGATTGTATTTATTGGTGTTAGTAGTTCCCGATTTCTTTTGTCTAAAGCTTTCTCTCCTGCCAATGTTATGTTTCCCAGGTGAGGGGCACGACTCAGTGTTACCGCATAACCTTGAGGCGATGCTTGGTGCATTATGGAATCTTGTCAATTTCTGTTTTTCATCTTCCCCGGTCAACCAGTATGTCAGAACCTCCCCTTTGCCCTGGAAAGTAATTGACCACATGTTAAATGCCATTTGTGAATGTTAAAACAATTGGGAATTGAACAAAAGGCAGATTGTTAAATTTCGTAAACCAAGTGTAAATTGCGATCTTTGTAATTACAATTTTGTAAGTAGCAGTTAACTTTGGAAATGTGGATCACATCAAACTTTTCGAGGAAACATAGCATCATTGGAACGCGCATACAAAACTTAAAAAATGATATATTAAACACATGTCTAGTTTTTTTCACCTAGGCAGGTATTAAAGTCTAAAGGTGACATAAGCCCGTATTTCTCTAATTGTCCCTAGGTCAGTGCACGTCATAATATACAATTGTCTTACTCCTTGACACATTCCGCTCTCTAGAGGTAAGGCCAAATCATAGTCATTCTTTTAACCCTCGCTTACTCTAAAAATACATAACTGAAGACGTTTGCCATTACGAAGAGGAAATGTGACGTGAAGGTCTCTCAACAATTTCAAATACTTACTTTCATAGCCACAAGGCCCCGCTCCTCCAATGTATATCCACCAAGTTTTGATAGCAAATTCTGACACTGACCACTGGCATGTATCTTTAGAGCTGAAAGTAGAGTCGAGTGTTACTCTTTTTTATGACCCAAAGAACACTTCGAGTCACAGAATGGGCTGCTGCCCCGAGACGCTCGGAGTCCCCTTGTGCCCTGCCCGCCAGACATGATCCCGCATACAAATACAACAACTAAGTTTAAAATCAGACTTAAGATACCAATGCTATTGAATCTATAATTTTAACATACTGTACTACTGTCATTACTATGTGTTTTCAAGCCTACTTTTTACAAAAAATGTATTTGAGCCAGGACAGAGGAAAAAAGGGTCTTATTACAGATTTTTTCAATATATTGATTTTTGTTCATCTTAAAAAGCACAAAGAGACCTTTTGAATGAGCCATGGCTTATGTCTTAACATTTTTTCCTTGCATATATAGACCAAAAAGTCGGATTTGAATTTAGCACACTTTCCTCTTAATCTTGGGCTCATTTTTGGTCTCTGTAGCGCAATTTTAATTTTTGTGATGAGACAGGTGTAAAAGGGTAGGTGGTCCTATCAAATTTTGGTCCTACTCTCTATTGATTTATATGGTGACCTAATTACAATTATTTTCCTTATTATTTATACACAGTCAGTGCCAGTAAGGGCCGTAAGCAAAGGGGACCATAATCCCCAGGGGACCATAATTTCTTTTACACCGGTTTTCCTATAGCCAGGCTCATTTATTGTTTACATACGTTCACCGTTGGATTCCATTCTAGAAGCTGTATTAACAGTATCTCCGAAGAGACAGTATCTCGGCATTGTCAGTCCTACAACACCTGCTACACAGGGACCTGAAGAAAAAGGTACAATAATGATTGAAAACAATATTTTTCAAAGCTTGTGTATTGAATTGAATACCGTTTGATTAGCTATTTGAATGAGATTAGGGAAAGTTTTCACCAGCTTGACTTTACTTTTAATAAGGATGCAATAAATGCACAGAATTTCCAGAGCAAAGTTTTATAACATCGAACGTAAAATACCTGAATGTATCCCAATGCGAAGTTTTAATGTTTCATTTGGTAGATGTCTTATCTTGAATGTTTTGATCGCAGTAAGGAGATGTAGTGACATAGATGCTATCTCCCCCGCGTGCTTAATGCCATTCCTGATCGGTATTCCCGACACAACCATATATGCATCTCCTGAAAGTAAGAAAAGTGATGGTTGTGTTAAAGGAACATTCCTTGCCAGACTATTTCTCTCCTGATATGGTAGCTACAATCATATATATACTTTACATATTTAGCAAAACACGGGAAAATGTTTTCATATGGTCAATATTGATCATTTAAAAATGTAGTACTCATTCCCAGTAAGCTGCCATCTTTTCAGATTTCTTTCAGGAAGTGATGTCATCGACTCTCACCTGTTATAACCGTGTCTATTACAGTATAGGAAAGAAGTACAAAATCACTTCTAAACAGAAGCCCTTATCTTCTGTGTAAAAATATTTTCAGGAGTTGTCAACTTAGAACTAAAGAAGAGATCATCAAAAAGATTTTAATCATAGACCAAATTGAAAAAAATATTCAGCTGGTTTAGTAATTCTAATAGCTCCTTACCTAATGTAATATGCAAAGTTGAGAGTCGATGACATGATTTCCTGAGTGAAATTTTAAAAGATGACAGCCTACTGGAATTGAGCACTACATTTTTCAGTGATCAATATTGACCATTTCAAAACATTTTTCTGTTTTTTGATGAACTTGCAAAGTAACTTTATGTTTATAGCTACCATATTAGGAGAGAGATGGTCTGGCAAGGAATACCCCTTTAACATATGCATTGTATACAGTCACAGTGATTCAATTTGATATGCTTTTTGTATTTTTTATTCACGCATGCGCCTCCTGGAGAAATAAAATGCTTGTATTAATTTAACGACTGTGTTGCTAGTTGTTTTGTTTTTTAAATGTATGCGTATGCTGAAATAAATGATGTGACTGTAACGTGGATTGACTTCACATCTGCGTACCACCGCAGTGCTTCGTTTTGATTCACACGCTTTTGATTTCGTTTTTGAAATGTATGCGTATCCTGAAAGAATTTAAATGGCTGTAACACAGATTGACTTCAAATCTGCGTTATACCATAATGCTTCGTTTTGATTCATATGCTTGTTGTTTTGTTTTTAAATGTATGGGTATCACGATGTAAAGTACAGCAGGGGCTATGAAGACAATGAGATGAGACCATTATCTGTCTAGACAAAATGGAGCTATCAAATTCCTAAAGCCACAAAAAGTTACCGAATTTAAATAGCAACATACCTATGGTTTCAACCTTGTAGACGTCATAGTGGTGAATTATGGAGTCGAATGTCGTGTACAGATCATTCAATAAATCAACCACCTGTAAATATGATACAAAAACGAATGCTATTTGTAGCAGATGGTTGTTTGAACTTAACCGTCTCACAAAGACCGATTTGATTCATATTCTGGTTGTTATGGATTTTAAATTGTTCTTCGCCATCAAAAGTAGCTCATCTATTGCGTCTGTTTTAATTTTTAATCTCACCAAATCTTTAACATTGAGCTAAAATACAAGATTAAGTAAGGCATTGTGGGTTTCTATCTAGTCTCTTCTATCCACTTGAATAGTGAGTCTCTCACAATATTTAACATATCTCATATATCCCATCTCAGATACCAACTTATGACTCCCAACTTGTGACAAAATAAACTTTAGATAATGAATTGAATATTAAGATATTGCACTTTACAAATCAAAATTCTGCCACCATGTTTCGATATGGCGATAACGCATGCATAGTATGTAAATATAGGACAGACGACGTGGTAAACACTCTTTGCCAACACGTTTTACGGAACACATTCAAAAATATACTTATTTGTAGTTACGAACTTGGAACGGTGTACTGGCTGCAGACATGGCCGTGAACCCACAAATATCACTAAAGTAGATAGTCACTGATTCAAAGTTCTCTGGTATAACATTATCACCCGTTTTCAAAGTCTCTGCTATAGACCTAAAAGAATGAATAAATAAAAGAGATTTCACATAGCAACAGGTTCTTTACAATTGATTGAGGAGTTCAATGCCCAATGACTGCTAGACGATTGACTGGGACTTCCTGAGTTCAAAAATACTAGTAATTCGGATAGTCCCGCCTCTAGTCTAATGTCATATTATCTTTAAATATAATATTGGTTCACCATGTATTTCAACTGTTAATATATTTCCAAGTGAGTCAATATTGCGAATCGAATTTTCTAAAGTCAAGAACCAGCTATCGCCTAACGCAAAGGATCGAGGCCAAATGTTTGAACCTACTTTGGAAGCATTCTGAGTAACAGGGCCTCTGTTTTTCTCTTCTCGTCCATCAACTGATCCGTTCTTTCTTCCACCAACGTCTCTAGATTCGCCTGGTATTTCTCCATCATCGCCATCATGTTGTCAAATATATTTGTCTTCCTGTTTAAATAGAATTTGTCTAATATCACTAATTTTTTTGTTACATCATTTACTCTACAATACAGTCAGCACTGAATGTCTGTCCCATGGTCTTGTGATATTGGATTTTGATGGTTCTTTGATGGTGAGCAATGGGGCTTGACACTGTTTGTTGTACATCATTTTTGATATTTTTTGTTTACTTATAACAATCTGCACCTTTCAATGCTAATCTTTATAACATCTAATGCAATTTGGGGTTTCCACCTTGAAATTGAATATTTACACGGGGTTGGATCGGATGATTTGTTCGCATTTTGGGATCCTGTTCCCACCCCCTGATCAGGAAATCGTTATCTGCCCATGACAAACCTAATGACACATACAAGTGAACCCACATTGGTAGCTAATTAGGCATACACCTATTCCTTGACATTCACTTCATACTTCATGTCATTTGAGTTCCATGATATACAAAATCATTCTGTATTATGGACGATGGTCTATTCTTGATACATGATATGTCTCGTATTACTAATTTAACAAAGACAATTGCATGTTTTTTCTGCTATCAAACAAGCCTCGAGATCATCGGCAATCAAATAAATATAATGGTTATTATTGTTGTTATTAAGATATATTGTTTTAACATCCGACACTTATTAGAATAATGTTTCATGTTGGAATTGGAACAATCATAAAATACACGTAAGATGCAAAAACACATAATTGTATAATAGTGTATGGTCTTACATTCCCTGACGCATGGGTTTCAGTTTGGATCGTATTTCTCTGAAATCGGGTCTATTTTCCGGATACTCGTCCCAGCATTCGGTCATGCATGACGTCACATAGTCCTGGCAGGAATGAGGTGTAATGGTTGGTCTAAAGACGGGACACAGTGGCCCTATCACCTTGGCAATGATTTCTGTAAATATTGAGAGTAAACAAGTAAAAAGGTCATCCTGCGGATCCAAGTACTCATTAAAATAAACAGGATTCACCTTAGCAATTATAGTTTACATAGACACATAAGTGTAAACAAGAGATATGTTTGGTCTGGGTATGATACAAAATGGTCCGATCATACCACCAACCAGTCAATATGGTACAACGAAAATGGGACTTCTGCGCATGTTAAAATTTTTCGTCAAAACTCAACTTTTGTTCAAGTTGATACGATTGTCTTTCGAACTAGAAACTTACCTCATTCGAAAGATCATAAAAGACTTTATCTATACTGAAAATCTTAGATCCAAACATAGTAGAATACGCCGTCAGTCCGCATTTGATTTTTTGAAGTGAGTTTCGTAGATCGTCAGATTTCTCCGACTGATATCGGGTTATCTCAAACTGGTTTGTTTATAAATACGAATTTCTTTACCGTTGTAAGGCGCATGCGCAAAATTGATTTATAAACCTTATTGGTTGATGGTTTTTCTCCTGCGCATGCGTGAAGTCTGATGAACACTTATGACGAAGACCGGAGCAAACATTACTAGCTCTCAAACGAAATTCCAAGATTCAGGTCATTTCGCCGTGTTTGCTAAGCGTGTATACGTGAATGACAAGCTGTTTTGAGTAGATCAGGTACCTGTTTTAGACACAATATTGATTTAGCTTGACATTGATGTGCACATTGGCACTTTTGAGCATGTTAATACAAGTTTTTACACTCTTAGCACGAGACGGGTTTTCGGAAAAATCTGTTATCTGATTCACTCGATTATCGTATGGATATGTATTTCTGCTGACATTTCAACACCACATCACATAGAATTACGATGCAGAATGATAATAAAACACAAAACAACTACTAAATTCCACTTGTTATTTCACAGGAGGTAAAAATGCAAACTGCCTAGATTCTTTGTAAGGGTCGTCAGACATCGGATTGGCCGCCATATTTGAAATGAAAATATCACTAAATAGAGGTCTGCGCATGTCTCAACATTTCGACTGCAACGTTTTTGATGTCATTGAATATACCGGTCTTAAAACATGAAAATGATTGCCGAGCAGTTACACTAAATTAGCCTTGCCCAAGTCGGTATTTTTTACTTATCTGAACTTGAATTATTACCGCCTTGTACAATCCAATACACCTGCGCTGATATTATGCAGAGTTATTCAACGGTTTCGAGATTTCCATAATACCTACGCTATCAGGGGTATCGCGAAACCTTATTGATTAACAGATATACGCGTGGACACGACGTGTGACTTCAGGCTGATTGACCAATCAAAACGTTATCAGGTTGACCTGCATAAGCAAAGCAATCTCCCCGATTTGAAATTCAATGATCTGATCGATCGTTTCTTTACAATATATTATGTAATTAAATGTACATAGGGAATGTAAGAGTCTTTAGTATAAATTAAATCATGCAATAGATTTAAAACTGATTTCGCGATGAAAATGCAAGACCGAGTCCAATGTTTATTGTTGAAATCTTCTCACCTCCGGTTACCGATCGATGCTCTGGCATCCACTAAACTCTGATTGATATTTATTTGATAAAATATTTGTATTTTCATGATGAATTCATGCAAGATTTGTTCGTGAAAAGTCCCGGCGAAAAGTAAAAAGTGTACTTGTTTTTGACCGTGCATAATAATGAGCTAACGCTGCAGGGCCGTCGTTGATTGGTCAAATTTTACCGACATAAACATTGAGTCGGTAAAGCACGTGGCTTTCTCTTTGGTACAAGGCGGTCATAATAGAAATCAAGATAGTAAAAGAGACCGACTTGGGCAAGGCTAACACTAAATAAGGAATAGACAAACCTGGAACATGGGAATACATAGGCTAAACGGCAATAGAAATAAGTTTAGATAAAAATAGCAGGTCGATCAATCTGTGTTTGTTAATACTTCTCTTTTAGAGCAAGGAGGATTGGAAGCCAGGGTTCCAACTCGATATTCTTTAATCTCCACGCATGCGTCATTTGCTATTCGTGTCTGTATAATTTGTACGACTGCATGGAGAATGACCCGATACTCTCCAACAAAGCTATCGCTAGGTGATTGTTTTGCAGAATATCGGTGTTGCATTCTGGGAGCCAATCCTCCTTGCTTTTAGAGAAAGGTTGATAGAATTCTACCACTGCTGCCACCTTTATATCATCCCGAAACCTTTGAAAAATGGTTTGGTAAGAAGCAGCACCAATGCAATACTGTCACTCTGTCAGTGTTTTTTTTGTTTATTAATACTGATTAAAATAATCGATTGTAATTGCTCCTTCAATTCTTACTTTGAATGTACCTTTAGTAACTTACTTAATCGACTAAAATTAGATGATTGGACTCTAACACTTTAATTCACGGAATTTGTATGGTTCGTGAGATTGGTAGTAGAATTCATTTCTCATTTTGTTCACATTTAGGTGGTTCACACTAGTATTGTTCACTTTTTACCACATGTTTAAATAATATTTAGAAAAAAGTGTGCCATTTTCCCCGAACCCATCAATTTTTCTAAAAATAGTGTTCAAAAGCCATGCTCGAATGATGAAGCTTGATCGATTTAAGCCATTTAGAACAAATATAAGGCAGCGTTGTCAAATATAAGAACAATCTTTGTCAAGATCACTATCTTACCTTGATACGAGGATAATGTCAACTCATATTATAGGAGAATATTGGAGATTTGTCATTTTGAAGCCTATATCTCAAATATGATAACTTAGAATTAAGTTTTGGGATTGTGAACTAACCTGGATGACATCATCAAAAAGTGTGTAGATCTTAGAACGTTCTACATTGAAAGGTGAAAGCCTCATTCTGGATATTGATCACGTGACTTATAAATGGAGAATCAAAATTAAGTTTAGGAAATTAGAACACTTTTCTTCTTTTAAAATTGCAGTCGAGTGAAGGTCCTTCACAATGAAGATATTGAACCCTTGAAATTGTACACCATATTGCTTGCCTGGGAGTTTATATCTCGGCTTAGTAAGTACTATTTCGTATGTTTTATATGGCTTTAATATCACAATGACAAGATCAATACTGTATTTTTTTCCTTTATTAAATATCATAATATTCCCACGCAAAATATATTGTATTACCTTTTGGAGACAGCTCACAATTCCCGTATGGTCCAAGACGGTAAACTATTTCATAAAGGATGATGCCAAATGCATAAACATCTCCTTTTTGGGTCCCATGTTTAGGATAGTTCGCACACCTTAACAACTCAGGAGACCGCCAAAGCAAATCTAAATTATAGAAGGATAAAATCATAAAATAAGTCATCTTCTTCCTGCCATGTTTAGATAATGCTTTCGTGAAAATGCATATTCCTACTAGGGTGACCTTCAGATCGCATCCTCAATATATAGAAATGGCGAATAAAAACTTGCTAAGAAAAAAGATTATGCAACTTTGTCGTGGTCATAACTGTAATGAAGTTGAAATAAACCATATGTATTCGCAATAAAGACGATTACTTACTCCGGTAGAATCCATACTCATTATCTTGGGGACTGGAAGTTTGTCTAAATTCAGTCAAACCATAGTCCGTAATCTGTAGGCTCCATCGACTGTTTACAACACAATTGGAACTTTTTAGGTTCCCATGTGAGTGCATTTCACTGTCATGGATAAATATCATACCCTGAAAATGCAACATTGTGAAAAAATATCTGATAATTTTTAGGCGATAAAATTAACTAAACAAAGGTATCAATAACAAAAGATTTCAGGCAAATTACAGGGTGTCCAGAACGTATTGGACCCCCTAGACAGACATATATAGATGTCTCTATAGTATGTGTTATTTATCATTTTAAAGCTTGTCAAAGGTTTTATTGCTTTGCCAAGTATCATGCTTCAACTCAGAATTGGGAAAAGGTTACAGGCATTTCAAAACTTAGTGTTTGGCCAAATTAAAGTTCAATTCAATATCCTGGAAGTAGAAGACATGGGTGTTAATCGTCAAAGATAGGATGGATGGTGCGTTGGAAAAAGAGAACGATGAGCACAAATACTCCAAGGAAACTCTTCTGACTAAAATGCCTTAAGAGGTTTTTTGAGGATTACAAAATGCTACACCCCTATTCCAAGCGCGTTTCAAGTCATATCTGAAAAACAAAACATTGCTGCTGTTAACATGGCCTATCAAGGCACACCTACTATTAATTTAGCATTATATTAATTTTTAAACTAGACTTTAATTTTGGCTAAACACTACATTTTGGAATGCCTGTAACTTTTCCCATTTTTGAGTTGAACAATGGAGACATTGGTATATGGCTGTCTAGAGGGTCCCATACTTTTTGGACAACCTGTAAATGGAATTAAAGTTTATTTGTGGAAATACTGGGTTGTACTAAATACCACCTAGGTGGGGGACACCTTGGTGTCCCCATTAAAGTGCCTGACTAGCATATTGTACTACTTTATTTCAAGCTAACATTTTTTCCAAGTGACATTCAGTCATATTTGTAATCTACATGTGAATGTACAGAAATATGATTTCGAAAATTGTTTATCAACTTCGAAAATTTAATCTTTTTTTGAAAATTTGACTTCTAGTTCGGGTTGATTACCCATAGACACCATGTTATAAATCACAAAAAGTGAAATATATTTTCTTGAATTGGACAGATAACATTTCCTTTATTGAACATATTTTAATTTACATGAATATAAATATCTAAATTAGATAAATACGAGTTATATGAGAAATGAACCATTAAAACAGATGTAATTTAAGTTAAAGGGAACTTTCTACTTTACCCGCCATGATATCTGACCCGAATGAGCCACCTGGTGGTGGGACTGGTGACTACCTACTCGCCCCTGCGTTGTTTGTCCTCGTTTACAATTGATGGGAAATCTCAAATGTCCCAGTTGTCCAGGGTACAATCGTTGGAGATCATATTACGATCTCATGTTGATTAGTTATTAGAATACTTATGTTATTTGGTAAACCCATTCCTCTTTTGTCATCTTTATTAATTTGTAAATCCATTGTTATCACCCACCTTTATTAGGTCCATGACAAGAGAAGCTATAAACATAGCATCCAATTTCAAGTCATCATTTTCTAATATGTCCTACAAATATCAAAAATGTCTGCAATTAGATAACCACAATATTAATAAACAACAGATTTATTAGTAATATATTCTATATTATGGTTGCTGCTGCAAACTGTTTTTTAACCCAAAGCATGACGGTTGAAACCTCCAAACAGGGATTGATTACAAGAGAGTAAGTCTTATTCACAATTAATCAATGATCTGTTTCAACCCGAGATAATTAATACCTGAAACAAACAACTGATTTTCTATCTAAAGTACGTTTATTTAGACATGAATAATGAAATATGTTTTCAACTCATTATTGGATAAAAGCTGTATACCTAAGTGCCATGAATAATACACGGATTTTTCAAGTAATACAGGGTGATCCGGAAGTAACGTCTAAGATTTTGCCATTTCAATACTATTGGACCAATCTTCATGACACTTGGTGCAGATCTTTCCCAAACATTATTGAGTGTATATTCAAAATATAAAGATTCTCCTGTTTTATTGGATGATTTTATGGTAACTATGGTAACCCGATGTGACGTCACCCGGGGCAAATTATTTGTTTTAGTAACGTCTAAGATGTTGCCATTTCAATACTATTGGACCAATCTTCACGACACTTGGTGCAGATCTTTCCCAAACATTATTGAGTGTATAATAAAAATATAAAGATTCTCCTGTTTGATTGAATGATTTTTATGGTAACTCTGGTAACCCGATGTGACGTCACCCGGGGCAAATTATTTGTTTTAGCAGAAAATAGAATGACAATATTAATGTTAGTTTTTAAAGCTTTATTTTATTAAAATCATGAACATTTAATTGCTCAATCATTTTATCCATGCTACTTTGCATAATTGTCACAATTAGCAATATATTTCTCATCGTAGTACCATGGACCTGAAAAATCAAAGTCCCCGGTAGTACCCAGTTTGAAATGGCAATATTTTGAACAATTATTTATATTTATTTAAGATTTCAAGCTGAGAAGAGTTTCTTTCGCAAAATTGAATTTGCCCCGGGTGACGTCACATCGGGTTACCATAGTAACCATGAAATGCACCAATCAAACAGTAGAGCCTTTATCTTTAAGATATCAACTCAGTAATGTTTGGTAAACTCCTGTACCAAGTTTCAAGATAATTGGCAAAATAGTAAATCTTACTTCTGACCACCCACCCTGTATGTCAATACCTTTGTCAACTGTGAGTTACTAGGAATTGAGTTGATTATTTGAGACAATGAACCTGCAATTGAGATTTCACATGAAAGCATATCTGAACGAAAAACGTGATATATGACAAGAAGTTGTTGATGAATGATGATATGTAATGTAAGTACACAATTGCACAACGTATGAAACAAGATGATAATTGAAAACGTTATTCCGAAATTATAGGGCTGTATTTCTATGTCACCCTGTAGAATCAAGGTATTTTAATATTTTGAAAGTACATTGGGAGGTTTTTATAAAAAAAATAAGTATGACACAACTGACAAAAGGAAACGACAACACAAGTATCAAACAATTAATAAAGGGAGCATTTCAGAGGTCAACGGGTCAAAAGAAAAAATTGCCCCAATTGTAACATCCAAAATAACAAAAAATGATTCACCAGCATTTAACAGTGCTATTTAACTCATTACCTGTAAACTGCCTTTTGAGCAGTAGTCTGTGACTGTTATCAAGAAGTCCGGTCCCACACACGCTCCTATGAAAGCATTTATATTGTCATGGAGCAGGTCTTTCATCTGCAATTAAGTCATAAAAACATGAAATTAAATTAATATGTGCAGGTAAAATAATGAAGCTCACTATCAAGGCGGGCTGTGGAACGAATATGGAAAATTAGTATGCACTCGTTCTTCTCTGCCTACGTCGGTTAATTTAGATACTGGATTCATTACATTTAGGGCATAAGATGTTTTCCTATATACTGTATAAGTGGTATTTAATCCGAGTGGTTAATATTCCGAATGGTCAAATTTCATCATTTTCCTAATTTTAATTTTCCTAATGACAAGAAACCATTGGATAACATTATAAAGACAATATTTCTGACATTTAATTTTCCGAACCTGGCAAAAATTAGGAAATAATTACCACTTATACAGTATAAGTCAAATTATTATCAATCTATTTTCAAAATCATAAATAAGTATTAAGCGTGACTAAAGTATCATTAGGATAGTATATTACCAGTATGTTAAGGGCATTATAAGGCCTTTAATTAAACCGGTCACGTTTATGCTTTACGGATAATCTTATCCTATTTTATAGACTATCACTTTAATTTTCCGATCTTTTGCACTGGAGAACTCAGACACAATGGCCTCAGAAAGTCGAGACAATGTTAAAGTGAGTCAATTTAAGGAATATAAGAAATTTAAACATGGGGTAAGACTTTCGAATTCAATACCATTTTCATTTCTTTTTGCAGTGCCCTGTTGAAATCCATTTTATGAATATTCCTGAGTGCTACAACCTGGCCCTTGTATTTTGCTGTTTTAGCAAACATTTGATTGGCTGACATTCGAGATTCCATGCTTCCCTGGCTCATCAGCGTTGCCTGAAATAGTGACGTCACAATGTAAAATTATTGATTACTTTTATTTCTATTTGTCATTTGAATATAGGCCTACATGATAGTAATATAAATCTGATTGGCAAAAATTGATCGGTTACAGCTGCTCAAGTTTAAAATGTTGGCAATCCTGAGTTAAAACTTTTTTTAATATTGAATTAATTAATAGTTAAATTAATGTTTAATTCACCTTCGAGCCAAACGCACCAATCCCTAAAATGTCAGCAGCATCTATTTTCCAAAGTAACCCAGCTAACTCTAGCTCATAGCGCCAGTTTCTGTAAAATATCAATCAATGTCAATGTCAATCAATGTCAATGTCAATCAAAGTAAATTTTTACAAACTTCTATTAAAAGACTTTTAACTAAACTAGAAATTCATGATTAATCACTTTTGTACTGCATGTTCATATTTATACTCAGGGGTGGGTTGAAATTAAAACTAAACTGAAACATATAGATATTTTCAATTATAGAATGGATATTATTATCAATGTCGTTTCTTTTTTTAAATAGTTTTTATTTCAGACATTGAATATTACATTACCAACTGGGATGATTACAAAAGAGCGAGTCTTGTTTACAAAAATAATCTAATATAAGACGATACACCGCATTCATTTCAATATTTTTTATAAAAAGCTATAAAACACATTTTTTCTATAGTAAATTCTCATGACCCATAAACTATGCTTTAAATGTCTTTTCGATTTCTAATAAATAAAAAAATACTTTTTACTTGATGATGATTAAGAAAAAATGCATTAATAACAGCTTTAGATGCAACACAAAAGTACACACATTATTCAAGGCATTTAAACGTCACGTTTTTCATCCTGAAAGAATTGAATAAAGTTATGTATTCTGATGCCAGGCCTTTATAGATCAAAACAAAGGCTTCGTATGACCGATGTGTATTGTACATCATTGGACTGTGGCTATTGACGTGAATAGATAGCATAATGGCACTTTTGTGAATTCAATCTCACCTGTATATAATGGACACAATGACTAGAATAACTAGGCCACAGGAAAATGGGTCTTATCACAGATTTTTTCAATATTCTGATTTTTTGTTTATCTTGAAAAGCACAAAGAGACCTTTCAAATGAGCCATTGCTTATGTCTTAACACTTTTTTCTTGCAGATATACACCAAAAAGTCGGATTTAAATTTAGCACATCTTGCTCTTAATCTTGGGCACATTTTTGGCTCTGTAGCGCAATTTTAATTTTTGTGATAAGACCGGTTTTCCTATGGCCAGGCTCATATAATGGCACTTTTGTGAATTCAATCTCACCTGTATATAATGGACACAACGACTAGAATAACTAGCACAATCCCTCCAATGACGCCTAACACAATTTCCAGCGTTTTATCTAAAATTATAAAAAACACGATACATGGCTATTATTGCAAATCATTTTGTTTATTGAATTCAAATGATTCTTTAAATTAAGTCCACAATAAGCAATGCAATGATAACACTATAATGATATATGGATATGGTATAATTTAATGTTATGGAACAAAATTTGGGTATATTTTTGACAATCAAATGTGCGACCCCTTGTATGTTGATTCTTTTCTGCCATGTTATAATGAAGCATGGGCTCAAAACAATTTATAAGCTTGGGTCTTGAGGCTCTCAAATTAACAAGAAATCACAGCTTATATACTATGCAATATAGCAACTGTAAAATGGAATGTTTTTTTTCATAAAATATCACACTGTGATCAATTGATTATTTATTTTAGCAAGAACAAATTTACATTAGATAATAAATTTGACTGTAGATTGCATTCAATATTTGCAAACCTTATTGCTATTAAGTATTGCAATTTTTTCAAAAATGTGAATACACGTGTCTTAAAGGACCTTGTTTTCAATACATGTATCATTTTTTTTATTGGTACGGCAACAAGCACACGAGTGAACACCCTGCCGCGGTACATCCTTACCATAACCCCATTCACCGCTGGTGCATAGGACCATTTTATATGCAAACAGGCTTATCTATGATTGACTAGTTGAAATGTCATCGAATTATCTAAGTTGATAGACTTAGTATGACATCGTGACCAAATCATGGGCAATTTCCTTACCCTCTTCTTGTACCGTACAGTTACTGTTCAGTGCGTACAAATAGTATGTAGCACTCGGATTTGAATATGCGACTTATGAGACTTGAGAGTGATCGATGTATCAACAATATGGCTACCATTTTGATATGCATATCAATCTATGGCCAGTCGGTTGAGCTATTCTAAGAACGATATCATGACAGATTTGACAAGTCAATTTGAGATGCGATATCCCTGTAATCTATAACATAAGGAAACCTCCTTTACTTTAGACTTAAATATTTGACAAAGCTAAACATACTACTTATTGGAAAAGCTCAACATGTGCGAATTGATCTTTATATTACAGTCTATAGACATTTTTGACAAATAGCTGTCATTATGTAACACTGATAAGTATAAGTTAACTTCAAAACGTTTCTACTATCCGTAAGATCCGTTTGCTATTCATGTCAGAACGAACTTTATCACAGTGACTAATCAATTCCGAAAACAAATAGTTTAATCGACATGTAAAAATTACTTTTTATGTCAAAACAAAGAGATATCTGACATGGTATTTATAGACACTGTTTACACACCAGACATGGCATATTCTACAATATTATCTTAGGATTCCAATAAGTGTACACATAGAAAGTAAACATATAATGGGCATTATGTCGTGGTCACACTTGCTCAAATGTTCAGTACCAGCGCCCGGCCCTGGTTTGTATTTTGTACAAACTTGTATACTCATACTCATCGGCCGGGCACCGGTGGTGAAGATCGGTGAACATGTGACCACGGCATTAGTGCGGCTAATTAGTGCGCATTGATTTGACTCATTATATATACACATAACCATTATAATGTGTGAACAACACTAAATTGACATAAACATCCATGTGATATCCTTGAAATATATAGTGCAGTGTGAGCCCAAAAAAGTATCTGAAACAAATCGAAAAAGCTCAGTCATCCAGCACATGGGTTTTAAGTGGTAACTGGTCAACTCAACCCAAGTCAACTCAACCCTTAGTCAATTCGACCCCAAGTTAACTCAACCCTTAGTCAACTCATCCCCAAGTCATCTCAACCCTTGGTCAACTCGACCCCAAGTCATCTCACCTCTTGGTCAACTCGACCCCAATGAATTTACTTGTTTTTAGTAGACTAAAATACATTATTCATACAATGTATCATTAAGTTTTGATAATAAATCGATAATAAAGATAATCATGGTAAATGTAAACTTTCCTATTTGAATCCTATTTGATTAATTGATTAATTTTTTCCTTAATTCAGCAAGTTTTTACATTGAGAAAGTTTGAGAAGGATAAGTGTAGAAGAATAGAGAAAAATATAAATCCCATTGTTTGTGCAGCCTTGATTCAAAATGTAACTTCAAAGATAAACATTTCTGTCACATATAGTCGCATTTTTGTTAAATGGCCATAAAATTGCGAGCATTTGAAATAGATCAATGAAACTTCATTGATTTAAAGAACGTTGACCTAGATTCGACTGTGCTAAATATGACTTTAAACCCATACTGGTTGACTGAGTTCTCACGGCTCACCCTGTAAAATATTTCTACGGTATACATGCACATCCAGATAAATGTCAGTATAAAATTCAACAGCACCCTGAATAACACCGAGAACTTATTGTCACGTCCTCGTGTAAGTACTTTGAGAAATTATTTCAAAGGAATCAGTATACATGTAGCTTATTCAAAATGGCTATTCAATGATAAGCCCTGGAGTCATTGAGTTTGAAACTAACTAGGATTATGTGCCTAGAATAGTTGAGATTGAAAAATAGGAAAAAATAGGAAATAGTTGAGATCAAAACTCACTGAGAGTTTAAGTTAAATAAAATAAAATGCTAGTACTGGATTTTAGGATAAATGATAGCCCTGGATCTTACGACACTCGGCTATTACTTCTCATAAAACACAGTACTCATACTTTCTCCATAACATAAACCTACAAGAGATTGCGACTTACTTGGTTTTGGTATACATCGTTCCCCGCGATATCCACAGGCTGGTTCATCGATAGGTACTTCCCCCTTGAGCCAGTTAATAGCTCTACCTGGCAGGTATGTGAACACCTAAGAATAACATCCTAGATAAAGAGGATATACACGAGGATGCAACGAGTGGGTGATAATAGAGAATACAGTCTAACCAGAGACTCAAGAAATAAGTGGGGTGTGAAAATGTGCCTCACCTTTTTAGTTCTTATTTTTACCACAAGGATTAAGGAGTATTTTTTTGTGTAACGATATATGACTTTGTCCAATCAATGGTAGGACATTTTATACAGTCCTGTTGGCAAAAATGAGATCCAAAAATAAAAAAAAGTGAAAATCCCTATCATTTTCTTTAAGACTACGATCTTAAGCACAATCTCTTAAAGCCATTCATTCATCAAGTCATTCATTTACACAGGTGGTCAATTCTGAACGACCAAGTTTGCCCGTTCGGGATTGTGCAGAGAGAAGTGTATGGTGTATACGTAATTATATTTCCTCAAGAGAAGTGTATGGTGTATACGTAATTATATTTTCTCAACTGGATCAGCTTGCGCATGCTAGCTCATAAGATACGTGGTCGAAATATTGAATTGAAGCATGTGCGGCATCCATTGAGTATGTGAGAGCAGCACATTCTAACAGAATAACAGGTCATGCCACTTGATGTATCATGTATAACTTACTGGCCGAGTTATATATATTTGGACCAGGTGTGAAGGGTAAAAAGTCCAAACTAATTCCTTTGTAAAGAATGACTCTCTGTAACGGAAACAAGGAATTCATTTTGGAGATATCTGTCGAAAGGATATTGTCAACAAAGTAAACGAAGTGTGACAAAGTAAAATAATTTTTAAGCCGATGTCACAATTGAATGTTGGTGAGTTTAGAGTTTTTGTATGAAAGGTTTTTACTAGGACCAACAACTGAACAAGCCGAGCTAGGCAAAAGGAACATATGTAATCGATCATACAAGCGGTTATTGGCAAGGTAAAAAAGAAGGAAACATTTCCATTTATTCTACTTTAATAGCAAGTTGAAAATTGGTGATTGAATGTATTAAAACCAATCCTTGTGACATAATGGTTAACCAAATTAATATCACATTCTACTGTAGAATATGACCTGCTCAGAGCAAAGAAAACAAAATACTACGTGACAGGAAATCCTTATTAAACCCCCTGTACCTTTAACAAAGTTATTTCAACACCGTGACTAGTTTTATGAATTGGTTGAATTGGTAAAATATTATTGCATAATGTAGTTTCAGTCTCATCTTATTTGAAACAATGACTTACCGGTAATTCATTGTTTTCTATTTGGAAGTGCCCCACTGGCATCATGGAGTAGTTTGCATGTGTGGAGACAAATGGTTGCCTTGACAACACAGTATAGTTACCCTCAGCGTCGCCCTGGTTGTCTATGTATGACATAAAACCTTGGATACCTGTAAAGAAGAATTATTTAAGCTCAAGGGTAAAGACAACAAGTAATAAAAATTATGGATATATGAGAGAGTATTTAGAGTTTAACTTATAAGTAATATTTTCCATAAATCTTTAGAGTAAGCAATTAGCACATACATTTCTTTTAGATTAGTTCTCTAAACATTGGTTAAAATTGTTGAAAAATCAAATAACATTTGTACAGAGTAAAAGTAATAAAATTTATCAAATAGTTAATAAACAGTATATCCATCATTTTCATTATAAACTCATTTCCATTACGTAACCTTACGCTCCAGTCCTTGAAGTACCCATATAAATTTTGAACTACTTTGACTTAAATTGTAGTCTTATCCCATGTTATCAAAGTGTGATACGTGAAACTTTTTTTTTAATTTCAAAAGGTGGTTTTTGAAGGACTTTTTGTTAAAAAATCGTGAATATATTCAAAACTAACTTTTAGAGGTCACACCAATTCATACCAATAATATAGCATTTATCCTCACATGTTTTTGCCGAAAAAATTAAGAAAATCTGTTCGTAAATAAGCAAGAAATGAACTCATCAGTGCATAAAAATGGTTCACAAAAAATGTTAGTTCTCATAGAAACCAATGGTACAATAATACCTAAAACATAATATATTCCTTTTAACCTGGTTAGACAAAAAGTTTTTGTCACCTGAGTAAGTCATAATGACATCACTAATGTTGCAAAATATTTTTGATATTCCTTTTAACCTGGTTAGACAATCAACATTGGTTTATTATTGAAATTTAGCATATTTAGAAACGATTGACATCGAAAAAAAATTTCAAAACGTTTTTGTCACCTACATGAGTCATAATGACATCAATAATATTTTTGATATGCTAAAACATTGAAGTTACCCATTAAATATGGCATTTTAATATTGAAATAGAAGATAATCTTTTCTGAAATGTATGAAGAAATATTTGATGATTAAAAAATATCAATTTTTTTGAAAAATGGCGGGAATAATTGAATATTGAGAAATGAAATGCTCACAACTTTTTTTCAAATTTTGTCAAAGTCATGACAAATAGTAAATGAATGATAAAAATATTTTCAAACTTAACATGGGGACTTTAAGTATGGCTATCTGAAATGTTCATCAGATAACATATCGAAACATGTTAATGTTTGAATCGCTATTTTGTTCCTTAATGACAATAGTTCGGAAAACAACTATATAACGATTTTGTGAGTTTGATCTTAAGTGATCAAAAAGGGTGCTTTGATTGCCCATCGTAAGACGATCTCCATTCCCTATACTAGATTCAATGATATAGTGTTTCATATAAAAAGCATTGATTTGCTATATTTCCACGATAGCCAAAAGAAAACGACATAAAAATTCATTAAGGAAATGCAGATGGAAAATTTAAAACTAAAGATCATGGTGAAGTAATAAGATAATATTGGACTGGGATCTGGCCCATAATTCAATTATTGAAAACTTGTAAACATGTCGGAAATTGTATGTCGATTGTATAACATTAGTTTCCTGTGGAATCTATGTAATATACCAAGTCTTTGATACAGATGCAGTTAAATGAACTATTGTGTAATAGAAAAATGTGGCTCTGAATTAAATGGTTCATTCGTCTTCTTGTTAAGTCATATCCGAGAATAATGGCGTGTAATAAATTCCATATCACTGCTCGCATCGCGTTTATGCACATATTTTATCCATGATATATCTAGTCAGAACGGCCTGTAATTGAACATAGATCACAACATTTGATTTTAATATCCAGAGAAAATGATGCTTATTACACAGGTAAATTCATCTAATCGTTTGCTTTGCTTTGATCAATACCAACGTTAAATCAAGAACTTTACTGCAGAAATACAATTAGATGGAATGAAATAGTTTATATCGAGGACATTAGAGTTAATGAAAAGAGCATCTATTAGTTTTACATCAAGATGCTTTTGATTAATCACATAATTAGTTATCAGGTTTTATCTTTCAATCGTTGTCTAGCTTATTGAAAAAAATGCAAGTGCGGATCCGAAAACTAACAAGGTGGAGGGGCCCAAATTTCAAAAAAATGTTTAAGCTCCTACAATGTTTAGGCCCCCTAAAACCTCCAAAAATTAGGCCCTCGAAAATGTTCAAAAGGCCCACTTATGCTAAAAATGCCTGGACTAATTGGAATTGGGGTCATAAAAATGTTTGGCCCTAAAATCGTTTCTGATCCCAAATGTTTTCTCGGCTCACCTTAGGGGTAAGGGGGGGGGGGGAATAATGATTATACATACATGAAGGATTGTTTCCTTTCCCTTAAAATTAGTTATTCATCGAAACATTATTTAAAATACGCGATCTCTCGATTGGTTAAATTAAACACATTTTTTTTGTCAAAATGATCGTGTTACATTCAAAAAGAGTTGAAGAACATATATTTGTTTCGTCGCAACATAGCACCGCCTTTGATACATGACAACAGTGTCGTGTATTTGTGAAACGACAAGCAATTCCCATGGTTTATGTTTTTACAAATATTAGTCGAGACATATTGAATGGGGCACACCTCGACAATTAGACTCTGGTTAATGTGTTTGATCAGAAGTTATATTACGTACGTGTCTTTTTGGATGCAGCTATAAATCTCAAAAATGCATTGTGACTGTCCAGAACAGAACAAAATACAACTCGGTGCCATGTCGTATTGTACATGATTTACTCCAAGCCATAAGATTGTCTCCTAAATCTTAACATTACAAGAGTTTTAATGGGTGTGTGGCAGTCTTATAATGTCTAGATGCAATGTATAAATACGACATGATCGATCTAAATGTCGACAAAACTAAAAGTGAACGTAGGAAGATGTATATCAATTAGGTTTTGATATCAGAAAGTGATCTATTCTAACCAAGCCTGCTTAATTAAGCAAAACTAGCGATATCCTAGTTCCTTGGATTTAATAATAACACAATTTTCGTAAAGTGACTCTTATAAAACTCATCAAATGTTTTTCTTCGAGGCAGAATTTTGAGGGTGGTGGATTTTTAAATATGTTACTGTTTACTTGATTTACTTATACTTTTTATTTTTCTCTAATATAGTATCTCCCAAGATGTTCACGTAATAAAGTATCAAATTGGGAAGTTATTAAAAAATTCTCTAGAATGAGGAATTTACATATGAGGAATGAGGAATGAATATATCCAGCGGATTAGTTTGATTGTATTATATGTAAAATTACTACTGAATAAAAAAATGAATATTAGTATAGTATCCAAAGATCAACATTGATAATCGAACAATTCAATGTATTCTTTAGTTTTCATAAAAAAGTATTATATGTGAGATTTTTAGATAATATACATTGTTACGCGATAAACACGATACAAAAATATGTCATACTCCGCAACGAATATGGCATAATAACTTGCGGTGTGTGACAGATTCACCTGCGGTATATGGCATACACACTAACCAATGATAACGTGATAAGGAAGTACGCAATTGTCAATTGCATCGATTGAACGAACAAGTAAAACGTTATAAATTATTATAATGACTACTGAATCAACAGTACTATGTATCGAATATATCAACTTATCAGAAGTATCAGTCACCAATCTCGCCAACCAACTTACTCAATCAATCCAGGATTCATATATTAGTACTCGACGCACTAACTATATTGGTAATCTAGCGTAGTTTTACATTTAGAGTCGATTCTCGCAACCAATCAAATCAAGGCTTTCTGTATCACGTTTTCACCTGCGGTATATGTCATATTCACCTGCGGTATATGGCATGTTCCGCAAGTGAGTATGACATATTCTGCAGGTGAGTATCGGGTATTCACTGAAATCAATGTATCGCATATTCACTGCGGAATATCGCATACTCACCTGCGGAATATGCCATATACCGCAGGTGAGTATGGCATATTCACCCGTATCACAAATACCGCGCAACCATGAATGTATGCCATATACCGCGTAAACATACATTGTAGTAAGTGTAAATGAAGGAAATGCTAGAGGCCAAAATGTTCTAAATTGAACCAATTGATGGAGAGTCTTCTCACTAGATCTGATTCTGCCTTACTATATTGTAGAATCCATGATCTCTGGTTCAAATTACTAATACATACTTAGTTTTGATACTAAGAGTAATTTTGACTGAAATATTGATGTAACTTAATATTTTACTGTTGGATCAAACAAATATGAGCCATTGGACAAATTATAAAATCCAGGTGTAAAGTCACGACAATATAATGTCGGTCACAAGAAAGTGTTCCTAGCTACTGTTCTGCTTCAGTTCTAGTTCACGTATTCCATAGATGTTTTGAAGCAGCTTTTCAAATATCTTGTTCACACTAAATGAGCTGCAGACAATAAGCTCCGGTCACATCAAACTAATTCTCAAAAGCTCTTGAGAATTTTACCTTTACAGACTTGAATTGAATGTAAAAGGATTGAACGTAGTTACAACTTTAACCATCTCTTGCTAAACGTGATGGACGTGCTAGAACGAGAGGCTGCTTCGGAAGTGCTAGTCTGCTCGATTATTTGGCAGACTTATAGCTCGCCTGTCCTGTTCGAAAACGGACGTTTGAGAACTAATTTTGCGTAAACATTGCTTTCAATAATGGCGAAGACAGAAAAAACATATTTTTGAAATTATGCTTTCAGATAATTTCGCGCGAAGGCATGATCAATGGTAAGACGTACATGTAACGTGCACCTTGATAACCTGCTATTGATGGAATAATCGAAATCCTTTTACGAATAGAAACAGATGTGGCGTGTAATGAAAAAATTAATAATTTAAATATAAAGCAAAAGTGCTGCTTTATTTTATCTTTGGTTATTTCCCATTTCCATCGAACGTAATAATCATTTGGATTCTTACTTCGGTACAGTATATATTCTCTCTTAATTTAGATATGATGTGATCGAATTTATCGTGATACACCACGCTTCCGTTAGATGGTATAATCATTTAAGTCTTACTTCGGTACAGTGTATCTTCTCTCTTAATTTAGATATGATGTGATCGAATTTATCGTGATACACCACGCTTCCGTTAGATGGTATAATCATTTAAGTCTTTCTTCGGTACAGTGTATCTTCTCTCTTAATTTAGATATGATGTGATCGAATTTATCGTGATACACCACGCTTCCGTTAGATGGTATAATCATTTAAGTCTTACTTCGGTACAGTGTATCTTCTCTCTTAATTTAGATATGATGTGATCGAATTTATCGTGATACACCACGCTTCCGTTAGATGGTATAATCATTTAAGTCTTACTTCGGTACAGTGTATCTTCTCTCTTAATTTAGATATGATGTGATCGAATTTATCGTGATACACCACGCTTCCGTTAGATGGTATAATCATTTAAGTCTTACTTCGGTATGTTTTTCCTTTCATTTTAGAAATGATGTAACTTCCATTGGTGACACTTCCCCCCTCCACAAGAACTTCATGAAGGGCCCTTGCATAGAGATGGACTGCATCGTAGAGATATGCTGCGTAGACACTAATCTGTAAAAAGGAATTCAAAGGTATGTTCATGTGTAATCATTTACCCTCTGTAAATTAAAAAAGCTACATTGTCCTTTATCAGTTATAATTTTTTCAATTATCTGAAACTCTTGGCATATTCCCAATATATACTATAAAGATCTAGTGGAATCTTAAAGAAAAACAAATTCCAATTTGGGGACACAAGCTTCACATAGTTGCTTCCATGGCATGGGCATCGTTTTCTACATGTTTAATTCTTCATATTGGTAATCTTGTCCAACAGAAAAAATCACCCAGAAACAGGTGTGAATCAAGACAAAAATAGAAAAGTACGACTGATATAGCAAACTTGCATTTTTTCAATTTTTGCAGGTACTGATTAAGATAAATATCTAAAAAATAATGTGTGTGGTTTTCGATAAGAGTTTGCCAATTAGAGTTACTGTTTTGAAGCATAACGCTGTTTCCACAGAGATTGTATTTTGATTAATTTATCAGGAAACCCATCACCATAATTCATAAACAAGCCGTATAAAGAAGATAATAAGCGACATTTTCTACGTGAATTAGGCTTCTATTCTAAATTGTATATAATCCTATTTCAGAGTCGTCGTGTCTCCACAATGGCGGTCAAACGGGTCAGACATAGTAAGATACGGTAGTTTCACAAAAGTTAAAAATGGAAAATTGGGGGAATATCAACTCGATATTCAATCTAGATATTCTGATTTTTGTAAAATGTTTTTTTTTATCACAACGAGTAAATAATCACATAAACATTTTGTAAAATAGATTGCTTGAATCATTTGTAAACATAGCCATGATAGTTACATGCAAATCCTCTGATGCGGATTTTGCTCCTCTTTAACGTTAATACTTACAACTTTTGCTTTGCCAAATGGGTTCGTGAAATTGAAAGGTCGACGCAGGAGGAACCGATTAACTTCCTCGTGGAATTTTGAATACAATGGGTTCGTGGGTGGACTGCTTACTATCGTTAGTAACGACCTGGCTGCTCGTAGATTACCAGTTGACTTTGGGTGGTCGAATGTGCCTAACAATCGAATTTCAGTTAACATAGTTAATATGTCACTCAAATGTGACGATCAGGGATAGTTTAGCTTATAAAATTGCAAACTGTGAGTCCTTCACAACGTTGTCTAAATCTGTAAGGTTATTTACCCAAATGCGATTTTTAGAGACCTCATTCCCAATGTTGGCCAAAAATTAAAACGTCCATATTTTTACTTTTTATTATACAGGGCGTTCATAAAGTTCTTGTAAAGGTGCTCTAAACTTTTTGTAGCTCAGTCAATCTGGCTGAAATTTTCACTCACTATACCTACGCTATTTATACATTGATATCCTAAGGTATAATCAATTTGTCCCTGGTAAAAATTGAAAAAAAGTTGATGGTTGCTATATAGTCACATGAGTCGGGGGTAGGTGGAGCAGGCAAAAACGTTTTTTGTTTGAATGTTCAAATTGTTTTTAACTTGTCCTATCTTATTTAACAATAGTATCTATAGGTGATCAAAATAGTGTCCATCATGGTCCATACACCTCTGCTGGCTTACTTACCATTCCATTAACAGATGGCGGAACCCATTTGAAAAATTTCTTGCAATTGATCTTCGTATTGGTGGGTTTCATCAACGTCATCCGATCCTCACTGGTATTCATTTATTGGACGGCCTAATCTAGCATTGTCCTTACCATTTGTTCTACCATCAGTAAATGTCTTAGTCCGTTTTGTAAATGTTTTTTTTGGCCATAGCCTTCTTCCCATACACCTTATGAATATCTCCAAGTGTTCGTTTTCTTGAATTTCCCAGTAAAACATACATCCCGATGCTACTGAATATTTGTAATTGCAAATCATCATATTTTGCTGATTTTGCAGCCATTTTCACAAAAGTAAAATTGACGCTATGCCTTTCACAAAGTCCGATGCCATCAACCAATATATGCCACTATGATATCATCAGTGATGTCATGAATCAAGGATGCTTTAAAGTATGTTAAAGTTACCTCTAACCCATATATTTTATCTAACATTTTCTTGTTTTAAATGCTGCTCCGCCTACCCCCGACTCGTGTTACTATAGCAATCATAATTTTTTAAGGACCTATTCATTATAATTCGAGATTCAAATGTAGGAATAGTGTAGGTATATAGAGTAAGAATTTCAGCCAGCTTGATTGAAAACCAAAAGATTACAGTACATTTGAAAGAACTTTGCAAATCCATAGATTTTATAAAAAATGATGGAGATGCAGAAATCAATTTTGCATGTCTGCAATTGTTTCGTCGGGAGTTTCTAGATTACAAAGGTTAAAAGACACGAGGTGTCTCAATGTAAATTATACAGTAATCATGTAATTGTAGAAGCAACGATTTTACACTGATATATCTACCAAAGCTTAAATAACATTACCAGACTATCGGCTGTCACAGTCTGTTAGAGAGGCAAAGCACATATAACAGACTGATCAGTGTATATTCTGAAATTATTTCCGCACAAATATAGATCATTTTGAATTGTAACGAGAAGGAGCTGGTGAAAAGAGCCGAAGTAAATCGGATAATCATCAAAAAATGTGGTCGGGAGAATCTACATGTACCTGCGGAGGCAAAAGTGCATATATCTTTTATCTGTGGAAAGATCAACTGAGCCGATAGCTCATCAAAATTATTTTCAACATTCTTTAGTACTGATGAGAACAGAACTAGCTAATCTTATTGACAAAAAAATGTAATATCTTATCCATTTGTTCTCTAACCAGAATTTGCCAGTTTCGTTTTTTCTTGAACCATACCGTTTAATCGTCTTATTAGTCTAGATACATTCCCAATGGTCCAATTTTAACAGAAATATTTTTCAATAGTGCGTGCCTAAGGCACCATAAACTGTTTGTCTCCGATCGAATGATTAAGACATCCATGTGATTATGTATCTAGCATTACTATATAATAAAATTGTAACGTCAACTATAACCTCGAATTTGCAATCACGCCTTTTATGTCTATTAATTTTTTCATTCAAATGCTGTTGATGATATGGTTGCAATATATATGAGCCAGGACACAGGAAAAGGGGTCTTATCACAGATTTTTTCAATAATTTGATTTTTTGTTTATCTTAAAAAGCACAAAAAGACCTTTTAAATGAGCCATGGCTTATGTCTTAACAATATTTCCTTGCATATATAGACCAAAAAGTCTTTCCTCTTAATCTTGGGCGCATTTTTGGCTCTGTAGCACAATTTTAATTTTTGTGATAAGATCAGTTTTCCTATGGCCAGGCTCATATATATGTGAGATATCTCAACTTTATTTTCAGATATCAAATATGGTATTGCAAGGGTCGTGTGGTCACGTTTATTGAAAATTGCTTCAGGCATTTTCCAGTTGAAGCATCCTCAGCTGCCACTTTAAAAGTCCTTACAAATCTGAAGGGATTTGGAAACTCTACTTAAGAGCCCCGTTGTAATATGAATTACCAATATATTTTACATTTAATTCCAATAAAAGTCAAAGAATGTAATTCTTGACAATAGATGGCAAACAATTGCAGAGCTAACAAAGTCTTGCTCCTTGAGGGAGTTCACGCAAGAATAAATACGAAAGTTAAAGGATGGGCTAGCTTTACTTACTTTGAAAATATTTGATGGGGTTTTCTTTGTCGTACTCCTTATGGTCAATGTGTATGACGATATATTCGCCAGTGTCTAGGATGCCTCTGGACTCCAGGTTTGTGAGTAAGCCAACCATACCGTTGTGCTCGCCAAGAAACACATACACTAAAACAGAAATTAAAGATTACCCAGAATGACGAGATTTCTCTTCACCTCAGAAAAGACCTCGAAACCCAGAGGAACGAGAAAATCCGTCACAAAATTGTTCACAAAAATTGATCTTATTTGAACAATTTTCATCCAATTTACACAAAAAATTGTTTTAAAACGTGTAGAAATGATCTCTGTCATCTAATTCTAATAAATTGAGCATCTAAAGTTGTATTAAGGTTTGTAGTGAAATGTGAAAAGGTGGCAAAAATGAAAAATTCTCTGGTTTCAACCAATTTTAGAGCCTGGGATTCAAGAGGTTAACAAATACTTTTTCCATTCTGTTTGCCGATGCATGCTAGTGATTTACGCCAAAAATCAAAATTTTGCTTTTTACCGCAGATATTTTGAGGTTTTCGTGAAGAACTCATAATAAAGAAAATATGCGTTATAGTTCGGTAACAGTAGCAGATTTTTAAAATCTGCTCTTTCTGTTGTGGTGCAAAAACATGGAAAACTATCGTTATTGACTAAACTAAACTTGATAAAATTCAAACATAATATAGATGAAATAGTTTGGTTTTAATATGGTATGTGAGTTTTCAGGATTTCTTTTATTCTCCCCTTTTTGGACCCAGAATTTCCACACCTTTTTTCCAGGACAATCTCAGTATGCTGCACATTTAGGCATTATAACTAGCCTTCCCTCGAGATGATAACTACTTTAATTTTCAAATACATATTCCAGTGTCGCAATTAACGTATAGAAACCCACCTCGAGTATCCACGTAGCTTTCTTGAACAATCCTTGGAAGCGGGTCACCCCTCGGACTTTTTGACTTATAGTCAGGATAGTATGGCTGTTCGAAGTCAAATCTCCCATTAATTGTAAAATTATGCCGAGTTGCTATATATTCTAGGTTTTTCGCTATATCTTGCCATTTTGGGTATGAGCCGGCCACAATTGTGAAGCGCATCCAGTTAAATTTTAACAACAGCGCTATGATCGATTTCGTGACTTGTGTTGCAGGGGGAAATGTTCGTGCAAATGTGGGATAAAGTTCTTTGTCTGAAACACTCTGGTCTGCACATTTCTGAAAAAATAACATTTTCGTTGACAAAGACACGATACAGTTTCAGATTATGTAAATGCATGTATTTTGGACTTTCAGTGTACCAATAACGATTTCGCAAAACAAAGCGAAATTGATTTTACTAATTGATAAATAAGTTTTTGGCACTTTAAAACCAAAACTTGAAAACCTGTGTAGTAATTTCAATTTAAAAACATGAATGGCCACCAAAAGACTTTTGACGAGTGAAGGGGATGATATTAAAAGAATCTGCTAACATGATGAATTATCTAATGATTGGTAGAGACAGGATTCTGATATCAAAGTAACATTTTATATGTCATTTGAAGAATGTAATCCTATTTTCTTTACTTTATTGCTATATTTACTGTTATTGAAAATTGTATATTGGATGTACGTTTGGCCCTAAAAGGGCATCAGTACTAATAAAATCACATTATATATATAGTTGGCCGACCTGTATACCAATATCAATTAACGATATATCTAACAAATATAAAATAAATTAAGACATACTTTGAAACGAATTAACATGAAACGAATTAACTAATACTATTTTCTCCTAAGAGAGAATGGCCCTTTGGAAAGACCACGTGACATCATAAATAGAACGATTGGCAACCTGGAAAGACAAGTAACTTTTATATAGGGTCCAGGGAATAGGGCATGTAAGACATGGCTGCAATGCTTTGAATCCAATCACGATGCCCATGTCAAGCAGCGTGCGTACTAGGCACGCAGTTTGAAACTCTGACAAACTGCGCGCATATTTCAAAATGTGAGACGGGGAGGACACGACTCCCAAAAAGAGCCAAAATACGAAAAATACAAGGTTAGTCTCGTTCTAAAGATAGTACCATTCTGTGAAGATGAACTTAATTTACTCATAGTACTCAATGTTTTTCCCGATGTAAACCTAGTTATCTCAATATAAGGGTCTTAAGTAACTTCTGTGTTCAAAATTTACAGTGTAAAGTTATATCTATCACTTTTTATCGTCATTTGCCGTTTATTCAGCCATTGTGTCTGTGTATGCTAGAATATATAGGATCACTCCATCTGATTAAAACAGCAAAGTTTGTGTTCAAAACGATAATACGCCATAAACGTGATTTAAACATTTTTCTTGTCAAACTGCGCGCCTATATTCACATGTATTTCCCAAACTGCGTGCCTAATATTTCAAAACTGCTTGCCTATCCAAGCTTGTTTTGTATTATTAGAAAACATAAGCGCCATACAAGGCACATATGTGTCTAATAGTAGAACCCCATAATTGAAACACTATGAGAGTCCATCCACCAAGATGGTGATCTGAAAATAAATGTTTTTTTCGTTCCCAACTTAATTGTCACTTCTATTATACATTTTGACTTTAAATATGAAAATCTCATAAAATCTGACGATAAAGCAAAATTTCCAAAGCTACATCGAAAACACCTACACGTACCTCTGTAGAAATTCCAATGATAATATGCAGTTTTAATAGTGTATGCGCACAGATTGTAATTTCTGGCTAAAATAGGCGCGCAGTTTGTGGTTTATTTCTTTTTAATCTCCTGATTATCTGTTTTATTTCGAAATATTTTGAATTAAATATGATAAATGTGTAAGGAATTAATATATAAAACGAGTCTAAAGTATTTGTCATTTATGTTTAAAGTGCTAGATCGATTTACGTATAAATTCCCATTAAATCAGTGACGAAAATGCCATTAATCTGCTTATGTTTTAAAACTAAGATTCATTTGCACACAGTTTTTGCTAGTATTTGCAAGATTCGTATATTCGCCACAGAATGAACGCATTGAACAAGAAAACAATGCAGGATAAATGTCTTTAAATAACGTTTCAAAATACAGACTCCAACTTAAATGATCCAATGTTCTTAGGCACGCAGTTTGTGATCGAAACAAACTGCGCGCCTAAGTAGGCGCGCAGCTTGACATGGGCACCGTGCCAATGTTAATGTGGAAAAACCAATCAGTCCTATAGATCAGTGGTAGAACAATCGCCCGGAAACCGAGGGGTCGTGGGTTCGATCCCCATTGGGGAGGACTGCCTTTTTCACATCAGCCCCTAGCGCATGATTTCATTCTGTGTTTTCATTAACTTCATGAACGAAGACATGCATTGAAATCAAGTATTAACTCACAGTCGTGTTGAAACGACTTAATCTAAATGAAATAATTGTAAGAAGAACGACATTGATTAACCCCGACCCTTTAATTAAAGCTGTCTTGAGTGTCTATTAGTATAGCATCTTTGCCTGATTTATCATCTAAATAAGCCACAATCTATTATCAATTGCAAGACAAAGTCTAGGAGGAATATTTTACTGGGCATCGTGAGTGTATCCAGAAGCTAATAAGGGGAAGGGGCTCACATTTCAAAGTAAAAACAATTTTGGGCCCTAGAAACCCAATCCATTTTTTGATAATTTGGCCTAACAAGGGCCAAAACGCAAAATAATGCCCAAAAGAACCAGTAATTGAGGCCCTGCAAACTTTTTAGGCCCAAAAATATTTTTCTGAACCCGACCAAGGGGAAGGACCCCCTGAATCCGCCAGTGGCGTGGGTGTAGCAAGCTACTTGTATGAGGCGGGCGAAGCAAGTACATGTACGTCTTTTTAAATTAATTCTAGACCCTGGGTTCGTCCCTAACAGAGGCTTGTCTTGTTTTATTTGTCATTAGTAATCTTAAATAAATGACTAGCAAAGTGATGAAACGAAACGTGACTTTCAATCAGCCATAAATATGATTCTCTTGTAAAATCCACACCTGATGCGAATTTGATCAAAGACTACGGCAACGATCATGATGAAACGACACGCATATCATTTGTAATATTGTATGCTTATATCATAACCATCCCCAGAATACAATCAATTGAAACAGATAAAATTAATTTTCAGCTATTGTCGTAACAGCATTTCGAAATTTAGAAAACCACATTTTCCATGTTTGGTGTTTCCAAGGTTAATAATGCTGCATAGCACGACTGAAAATACATCGTTTACTTTATCGTGGGCCGTACCCAGGATCCTAAAATAGACGAGATACATTTTAAGTAGGTGAGGCATATCTGTGGGCGTAGCCAGGGAGTAGGGCGTGCGAAGGGTGCGATCCCCCACCCCCTGCCCGCCCCCCCCCCATAAAAAAAATTAAAATTAATGAGGCACTTGCGTTGCTAGCTTATATATTATATTTCTTGTGCGGTAATTTCAATGGATGTTTCCTTCATAGAATTGAGTTTAGATTTAAAAACTTGACATATTTGCATCGGTAACAATCGCAAACGTATGATTTTTACATTACATATTTTGTTTGACGCATACTTTTTATTCTTATAGCCTCCTTCCTTGTGCAGTACTTTCAATGGATGTTTTTGTTATTCTTCAAAAATTACGAATGCAATTCACTGAATAAACCACCTGTTGGGGAAATAATGAATTAGAAAGGATGATTCCTTTGAATGGTTTAATTGCGTGTCAAAACGTAACATATTTATGCAAAAGAAATATAAAAAGCAGGGTTGGAAGGGGTCGAAAATCAGGACAACATTTCAGAAAAAACATGTGAGTGGGTTGTTTTCATCTTCCCTGTCTCAAAGTCGAAATTATTTTTATCATCTCTATGAGTGCTTGTCCTGGAGATAATGCATTGACCTAACATATGCACCTGTTTATATCCTCAGAAAATATCCAATATCCAACATATGACTGTCCTAAATCTGTTGCGCTACTTTCCGTCCTCATTTTGAAACTTGTGATTTGTATGCGGACTAAAACCTCAAAGCTGACACTCTTATCCTTTAAATGATATATTGGAACCTAAGGACAAATTGCGTCATTTATTTTTCATTATGGAACAGACTTTGAAGTTCCCATTTGATAAGCTGTTATGAGAAAATATAAGAGTAAACAGTCAAACGTATTTATCAGTCTTCCCCAAAGCCGATGTGTCCCTGGTAAACACAGGGATCGAACAGGAGGTGATGTCATGTCATCAGTCGGTGATGTGATCAATAAGTTAAACCATGACATCTCATTTTTTCTCAGCCCTGATATGTTTCAGGTGAAACAGAAAGATGCTTTGAGTATCAGAATGGATGCAATTGCACACCCCGGCTGATATTCACCTATTCATCATCAACATCCACGTGACGTTCCAGAGTGAAGACAGATGCGGATGGGAGAGATTAATGAACTTCCCATAAGACCGATTAAATAAGTATTCCAAGACGGCAGTAATCTGTCACCTCTGAACGTCGTGCCATCCAAAAAATGTCAGCCACTTTCTCAAACCTTGAATCAATTTATCCTACAACTTACATGTAGATGAAGCGTTTGGTTTTTGAATGTTGCTGAAAACATTGAGCATTGAGCGCTTTCTTGTTTACGTGTACTTTCTTACTGCAAATTGTGAATATTGTAAATTGAATGTTATATTTTTCTAGTAACTAAAATCACCGTCATTTAAGGTATACTAACCATGAACTAATATCATCCTTAAATCCTTAAGGTGCACTATATAATGAACCAGAGACATACAGACTGCAAAGATTTTATAAATTACTAGACAGTAACGTTACTCGAAGGTGATCTGTCAATGTAAATATAGGCCATCACAACAATAAATTAAATGGTTCGATAATAAAATAAGGAATCCACACATGCAATTTTAAAGAATACTGGTCGAGTACAAGGAGGATTCCTTGGGTGGAGTAAATGTAAACGCAACGTCAGGAAAATCGAGAGTAAATTTAATTTGGCCTGAGTTCTAATGATAATAATATACATCAGAATGAATCATCTGTGTCATTTTCCAAAAATGTTTCGGTGGTAATTGAAATCGTTATTATTCATTTTAAACTTTTATTGAAATTATCTAGCATTTGTACCTATACTTTCCGTACACCCTGTATGTATGCATGTAACTCATACTACCCTGCGTGCAGCATTCTGATACTCATAGCATCTTTCTGTTTCACCTGAAA